TTTCTCTCTTCATTTTTTTTTGTTTCACAATTTTAAAAACGAAATAACAAGATTATTATTTCTCGGATAAAAGTAAAAAAATGCAAATTTCAAATTAATATTTTCTTTCTTTGAACAAAATTCTTTTATACTTATATTCATTTTGGGGATAATTTCGATCTTTTTAAAACGAAAGACTTTTTTTTCATTCTTTTTTTGTTTTGTTCATGAAATTATTATTTTCATCAAGAATTCCACTTTTTTTTTCTTCTTTTTTTTTTTTTTTTAAGGACAACAACTCCAGATCATGATCCACGGGTTCGTAATTCCGGGTGTTACTGTCCCGTAGGTATTTCCAAGATGTCTTTCCGAGCCCCCACCACCACCCATCACATCTATTTGCCATCTTTATCATTTTCTTTCTTTTTTTTCTCTTCTTGTCTTCTTTTTTGTCTTTCCAAATACCTCATTCCTCTCTTTTCATATTGTCAAGATATCACCTCTTTCTCTTTCTTCGCTTTTCCACTTTTCGTCACTAGTTAATCCTCCTTCTCTCCACTTTCCTCTTTCTCCTCCTCCTAGATGTTTTCATTATGTGATCCAATGAGACTATTCGTCCCTCTCATTTCTTCTCTCTTGCCACGATTTTATGCTGCTTTCACTTTCACTTTCATTTTCTCTAGGTTTGCTGAATACAACCGCTGTTGCTTGGTTCACACGCTCATAAAAACAGACTATATAAATAATTAAGCATATTTTATTAAAAATGTGACTGTGTACACATTTTAAATTATCTAGCTAACACACAAACAAACGTCCATACGCTAATATAGGCATGGTTATATATATATATATATATATATATATATATATATATATATATATATATATACACACAGACGGTATATCTCTCTGACCGTATCTCAATTATGTCATTTAAATACAAACTGAGACATGCCAAACTCCATCTGCATCATTCTTGTGGACACTACAAGTATAATAGTCTGTAAAATAGGCTAAAATTATGGAGGCATTATTAATAAAAATGAAAAGGACAACACTCAATAACATCAACTATGAACATGGCCACAATGTGGTGACCGTATTTAGGAAATAAAACATTCCTATAACTCTAGATACATACAAAAAAATATCCTTATATTCAGTTAAAAGTAAAAATAAAATCATCCTCGACAACAGCGAAAAATATAGCCGAAAGCGCTCGTACATATAGAAAATTCGGAAAATTTCTACATAATTTATGTCTAGAAAAATATAGCAACACAATAAAAAAATGAAATAAAATAGATAATAGCAATACCTTTTCAGTCGTTTTTAATGAAACTTGTATATATATATATATATATATATATATATATATATATATATAATGTCTGTGTGTGTATGTGTGTGTGCGTTTGTGTGTATGTGTGTTTATGCATCTATTTTAGCATTATATATATTTGATATATTTTAAAATATTTTGTATATATATATATATATATATATATATATATATATATATATATATATATATATATATATATTGGTTGTGTCTCTGTATGACTACAAACACTATCTTTCTCACTCACACACACACGTTCTTTATGGCTTAACTCGAATTACTGTTATTTTTTATTTATTTTGTTGAAACTTTTTTTGATGGTTACTCATATTAGTGTAGAATCTCTGTTTTATAATTAAAACAAAGGATGCAGTTTCGAATCCTGCCGGAGGATGCATATTTTTCTGACACGATTTCTCGAATATTCAGGCCGGTAGATGTAGTTGAATAAAAATACAGTTTAATTAAAAAAAACAGAGCTTCTACCCGAATATGAGTATAAAAAGTTGTGTTTAAACAAAATAAAAAAAAATAACTATATATATATATATATATATATATATATATAATGTGTGTGTTAGTAGGTTAGGAATCCGAAAAAACAGACAAAGTAGATAACTGTTTTTTGTTGACTTTGACGTTTCATTAGATAGGCTTTAGAACGAAAAGAAATATATCTGTGAACGAAGGCTTCAAAATTAAATCCTTAATATCTTTCATTCCGACCGGAGGATGCTAGCCTATCAAAATATTATTAACGACTTGATATTGAAGCATAGACATTCACACACAAACACATATGTACATATACATACAAACATATGCATACACACGTACACACATATACACACAACCCACGCATACACACACACACATTTCTTTCGTTCTGACCCGAGGAAGCCAATTTAATGAAGATGAAGTGTGGAGGAAACTCGACAAAACTGTTTGCCACTTTGTCTAAGATAAATGTATACAAAAGTAAAAAAGAATATGCTGGTAAGTATTTATATATCAAAATTATTTTTGACTTTATTACACACAGAGACACACACGCACAGACTATCATCACTGTCTTGTCCGTGTATTGTTTAATATATTGTAATGTAATTATCATCTTTGATAATGTCTTATGCAAGCTGAAAGCTTAGATAGGATTAAAAGCTATGTATCAATATTGTGATTTTCTTTCTTCGTTTAATGATAATGTTATTAAGCTTATTAGACGATATGAAAAGAATTTACATAAAATAAATAGACAACACTTGTCTATATTATTTAATGAAACATGTAGCAATAAAAAAATGCTGCTTAAACACACACACACACACACACACACACATACATATATATATATATATATATATATATATATATATATTAGGATTACGGTCATATCACGGTGAAACGTTCTGGTCAGGACTTGAAATAGCAGGTGCTGTAACCTTGGATGAAAGGATGGTTTAATGGGTACTGACTCGCAATTATTAATCGAAGATCCAATCGAAGAATTCCAATTCCAGTTGGGTTCATTATATTAAGTTTTGCGCAAATAACATTGGGTAAACTGTGAATCCACTTCTGCTTCCAGCTATGGGTTAAATAGTAAGGCTTGTATCACTAAATCATTATTATCTCATTATCTTAACCATCGCAAAAAAAAAATCTTAGAGTTTAAACATATTTTGTGGCTTTAAATAAAGTGCAAAATATTGATTAACAGTATTTACCAGCCTGGATTTCCGTGAAATCTCAAAGAAAATGTATCCTCCGACAGGAATCGAACCTTTATCCTACACGGAACCGCCATATGACCTTACATGTATCATTTAGCTACGGAGGAAGCTCCTGCTTAAATTACTGATTTTTTTTAACCATGCCACACAGTTGCTTTCTCTGTAGGTAAATGGTATGGCACGTCAGGCTATATGGAGGTTCCGTGTAGGGTACAGGTTCGATTTCTGACAGAGGACGCATATTTTGAATGAGACGATAAATGTTATTTAATACTGTTTATTATAAACAGAGCATTAACTTAAATATTTGTATCAATAAAAATAACGTATAAGCAGAAAATATTTTTAAAATTATTGTCGGACATCTCATTTTATATATATATATATAATGAAATGGACAAATCCAACAATTATTTAAGACATTTGTATGTTTATACATTCTTTTTATAGATACAAATATTTAAGTAAATGCACTGTTTTATAATAAACAGTATTAAACAACATTTACCGGCCTGAATATCCGAGAATT